CTTCCTTGCTGATACCTGTCCTAGCTTAATCCTATCTGCCATTTTCGCTCACATTATGTATCGCTAGGATTGTTTTTATATTACCAAAATCCTCTTTTTTGATTTCTGACATCACTGGGTACGTTCCAGATATGAAATCTTTACTATTTCTTATTCTTCTCGCCGCAATCGTCGCATGCTACGCTAGTGTAGAGTTCCAGGATGAACCTAGGTATGTTTTCAACATATACGTACTTAATCCATTTTCTATTACGCTTTTTAATTGGATATGAAGTTATGTTTACCATATCCAAGAATGATGGCTGCTTAAGAAATTCTTTGTTTAGGTCACTTCGAGCAAAACGTCAATTCGGCTATGGTTTCTATAACCCTTTCTTTCCTCCTTTTTATTACCCGTGGGGATTTGGTCGTCGATGGAGCTATGGATTTCATCCTTTCTTTTATCGACCTTATCGCTGGCGTTACGGCTTTCCATGGTGGAGATTCCCTATTCCTTAAAGCGCTCAATTTCTGAGCCTCTTGTAAACCACGTATACTTGTCACTTTTATATTATTTCCTTGCGATCAACTTTCTAAATCTTATTGTAAATGGAACATGTTGATCCCTGAATTCTGGAAATAAATCTTTGGGGAAAGCTGAGGACTTTAATAGGATTGATTGTCAATAACCTAGGAAGCCAGCTGAAGAAACAGCTGTATGTTCTTCCAAGAATTCTAAAAAAGAGTTAGGGGATGAAAATTGTGGATAGTTTGATGAGCAATTTCTGATAGCTTGAAATAATGCTATTTGAAAAGCAAGTCAAAAAAGATTCAACCTTCTTCTAACCTACTTCTTAGGTTTACGCGCAAGATTTTTAAGACAATTTCTCAACCAGCAAATGACCCATCTCTCATCACCTAAGAGAAACGTTTCGGTTTTATAGCAAATTTCCAACGTAACTGGGAACAGTTACAGATTTTGTTTTCCTCGACTAAAGTGGCAATTAATGGTGAAAAGAAGTACATCTTAGAAGAAAACAACTTTGACGTAGATGCTCTAAAGGTTTACAAGTACATATAAGTAGATCTGCACCAAAGAGGACGTTCTAGCGTTGCGCAAGTTTCGGGCAGAAGATGAAAAACTCCTATGAGTACGGTAAAATTACCATGTGAAAAGTGCGTACACCACGACACATCGTATTACGTAGAATACTGGTTCCTTCGCGTGCATTGCCGCACCGAGATGTCCATCGTTTAATAAAAGTGCACAAGATCAGAATCAGTAACGTACCTGTTTTGTTCTGCTTCAATACCAGCAATCTTAAAACTTCTATTCTAAAATGATAATAATGACAAATTGGATAATATGTGGTTTAAGAGAAATTTTTCGGTGCAAAAAAGTCCTATCGGACAACGCCGTGCATTACCAATTTCTATAAAAGGTCCAGTATTTTATTCAGTACACTTCGTCAGCGATT